GCCCGCGGCCGCCGTGGCCGCGCCCAGGCGCGCCTTTCCGGGCGTCTCTCCGGTGGCCGGCGCCCCTCTTAGGACGCGGCCGGGTGCACCAGGAGCCACCGTACCCCTCACCTCACTAGTTGCCACCTCTTAAAGCTGGCCTCAGATACAGCCCCGTTCAGAGGCGTTGGACCCCGTTAAGCCCTATTCTGGGGCGTGACACTTCGACATATTGGGGGCACGGTGCAGCCCCTAACCGAAGGAGGAGCGGTTGCTGCGGAAACGGAGGGCTTGTTGCCCACCAGCAGTGACAGCAGCGGGGGGGAGGGGGGGAGCTTTAACGTCTGGGCGTCACCTCCTGGGGAGGCTTTCTCCTGCGCCCCTTCACTCCTCCCTCCCTCGCTTGCTGTCTCCAGCCAGTGCCCTGCCAGTTTCTCCCCTAGACGTTTCTCCCCTAGACCGGCTCTGGAGGCACAGATGAGTCACCCCTCGGCGCACACATAGTGGGCTCCCTGTTAGGGGCCAGCCTGCCTGGAAAACCGGGTCCCCCCGGGGCGGGACCTGTCTCCTTCAGCCGCTCCATCCTCCTGAGTTGGCCCTGCACGGGACACCGTGGGCCTTTTCCTCAGGCAGCATAGAAGCGGAGGCTTCAGGGTTTAGGAGACAGGATTGGGGTCCTGGCTCTGAAACAAAAGTTGCGTGATCTTGGGCAAGGTAGTTAAGTTCCCCATTTCCTTCATTTGTAAAATTTTGATAATGGGGTTGGAACCTTTGAACTAACGGGTTACAACAAGCTCGGTTCCGTGACCACCAGCTTGCGCAGCTAATAAGCCAAGAATCCTTTCTCTTTCCAAGCAGCCAGTGGGGCCAGGGCAGGGGTGGGGTTCTGCCTTTGGCTGCTCAGTGCCTTGAGAGTCCCACACCGGGACTTCCCCATGTGTCTTCCTGTGTGAGGCAGGATCACCCCCACTCCGTTGCTCTTTATAATTGGCATCGCGCAGGTCCTGGCTTTTTCTCAATCCACCTGGTCTCACACCAGGAGGTCAGGCCACTGCAGCACCCTCTGTGTGAGGTGCCAGGCATTCCCTAAGGAAGTGGGGGCACAGCAAGGTGGGGCGCTGCGGGGAGGGGAGGAGTTGGGCGTCTGGGACTGGAGGGTGCCTGGAAAGCCCCAAACGTGGACCTGTCTGCTTAGCACAGGTAGACCGCGGGGTGCCGTTGCCCGTGGTGCTGTCGGGCAGGCCGCGCTGGCCCGACGCCTGTGAGCCGCCGGGGTCGGCCTGGCGGGCCCTCGGCGCCGGTTCCGTGGAGTGGGGAGCATGGACCCCGCGGCGGCGCACAGCCGCCACCTGCTGCAGCAGCTGCAGGAGCAGCGCATCCAGGGCCTGCTGTGCGACTGCATGCTGGTGGTGAGCGGCGTGTGCTTCAAGGCGCACAGGAACGTGCTCGCGGCCTTCAGCCAGTTCTTCAGGTATGTTTCAGCCCTGCTTTCCGGGGTGCGGCTGGCGGCTCCTGGCCTGGAGGCGCTCTGTCTGCCTTTCCCCCGGGTTGCGCTGCCCTTATTTTAATGTCGAGAGTGACCTTTGGCTTTGTGTTTAAAGACACCCAGAGGAAACGAGCCTTTTAACTAAAATGCACTTGAGGTCATGGCCGGTACTTTGGGTCTCAGACTTTGATCACTTAGATTAATGTCAGTGGTCTCTCAGTGACCTGTATTCTTCAGTGGGGGACGAGTTCCCGTAGACCTTGTCTTAGGGGTAAGACAGCACCGGCCCATGTACTTGGTTGTTTGTTTTTTTTTTTATCATTTTAGCAGTAACGTAACACTTCTAACAATGTTTTGGGCTTTGTTTCATTTTGATATTCCAAAAAACAGGTTGAACTCAATTTAACTATGCCTGTAGTGGTTTTTACTTACTTCAGATTCGCTTGTAAATGCTGAGTATATCAGTAGCATTTCGTTCAAGTATTCTATGTAAACTGTTTTTGATTAGCTGAGATTTACCTCCCTTTAAGCACTAAAGCTTCTTTTTGGATACCTCCCTCCCCTAGATGCATGCCACTTCACAGGTTTCCTGTCGTGCTGGAATGTAGAACATCCCTATTTGTTATGATTGAAAGGTTATTTTGGGGGTCTGGGAATGCATACAACTTTGCCATGTCAAATAATGGTAATAATAATGAGAGCATTCCCAGGCCTCGAAATAACCTACCAAGGGCCCTCCCTGGTGGCATGATGGGTTGAAGTGCAGCACTATGAAGCTACCACAGCCATTGCAGCACGAGTTCGCTCCCCGGCCAGGGAGTGACCCACAGGGCACAGCAGACCTCTCCTCTCTCTCCCCGCTGCTCCCCTCAGCAGTGTACTTTGTCCACCTACCTGTCCTGCTCCCCACTCTGTCTCTGGTGAACCCACATCTCTGGCCTGTACCCAGTCTGTATGCAGAAATAAATAGAAATCTTAAAAAAGAAATAGCCTACCAAAATCAAACAGGAATGTTCTACTTTGGGCTAGCCGGGAAGCTTGTACTGCTGCAGGGCAGGACTTCATCTTAGCTCGGCAATCCTGAGCCATCAAAGTGAATTAGCCATTGGGTATGCTGCAGTTCCGTGGGCAGCCGCGCACGAGGTAGGCAGTCCCGGTCCCCGTCCAGGATGCACTTGCACGTCACCTGCGTCTCTGAGGGGCAGCCAGGCTCGGATGTCCTGCCGTGTCCACTGAGTTCCCACCACGCACTTCTGACGTGCACCGTGAGTGTGCCGACGGAAGGCTGCCTTGGGGATGTGGGAAACTGCATTTGTGCAAAGCAACAAAACTGAATAACAGTTTCCCTGAAAAACAGGGGCATTTTTACATGCTACACGTGTTCACCTGTGAACAGTGCATGTACTGCTCACCCGTGAGGTACATGTACTTCATGTTGCCTTTCCCCTGGCTCAGTCACAGGGCTTTTCTGGCTGCTGGGTGCTGAAAGACCTAACCACAGATGAATGACTGCAAAGCGCGTGCACACGGCTGACTAGAGCAGTCAGTTACTCACAGGGCGCGGGAGGAGCGGTGTCACTTAAGGACAGAGTTTCAGCTTGAAGTGTTGTGACGGTTGGGAACGGAGGCTGGTGGGTGCACAGCAGTGTGATTGTGCTCCGCACCCCGAATCACCACTGGGGCCGCAGTTGCCTTGTTTTTAAGCACTAGAAAGGGGTCGAATGGTGAGTTATAGGCCACACTTAGGATTAGAAAATGAATATATAGAAGGTTGCTTTATTATAGCCGTTTCTACTTGTACACATTTGGAGGTGTGCAGAGATGGGGATGTTCTGTAGGAGATACACATTGTCAGACTAAACCTGAAATACCGACACATGTGTTTCCTTTAGTTTTCTATACTCTGCGCGCCAAGTTACAGTACATACGGATAATTACATTTTGGAAAAAGACCAACAAGGAGTATGTTTTGTGACTGTACTTGGAGATGTATTTGAAAGTTTGGCTCCTGAGCATACCAGTTTAATCCCTTGGAATGGCCAAAGTACTTCAAAGACTTAAAGCATACCCAGCTATTTATATGTCACTTATATTTATATATCGCTCTCTGTTTGCTTGCTTTTATTAATTTTTTAGTAATTGAATTTCTGTCTTGTATCACTGTCATCCCCATCGTTCTCCTGCCGCCTCACGCCCCGTGCACTGAGCAGCGCCCCCGTCCAGCCTCTCCCTGCCTGCCCGCGCCACCACCCGCGTGGCTGCGCGGCGCCGCTGTCTGGTCAGTTACAGTTTGGGCCTCGTCCTGCCGGTCACTGGCTTTCTCGTAGTATTCCACATGTACGTGGACCGTGCTGTGTTTGTCCTTTTTCCTTCTCATTTCCGCCAACACCATCCCTTCCACTTGTCTGTGTTGACACAAATGGTACGAGTCTGTCTTTTTTTGATAGCTGTATAACTTCATTTTAAAGCCTTGGCACTTCTAGGCAGGTGTTTTTAATATAACGTGAATGCTAGTTAAAAGAAAAAGTTGCCAGACCGAATTGTCACCACTGTAAACAGACATGCTCTCTCTTCTCAGGAGCCTCTTTCAGAACTCTCCAGGCCAGAAGAATGATGTTTTCCACTTGGACATTAAAAATGTGAGCGGCATTGGGCAGATCCTGGACTTCATGTACACGTCTCATCTAGACCTTAACCAGGACAATGTGCAGGCGATGCTGGACATAGCCCAGTGCTTGCAGGTTCAGAACGTTCTCAGTCTGTGTCACACGTTTTTAAAATCAGCTGGCATAGACCTGCCACCTGGCATTCCGTGTAATAGTACGTGCCCCCTGCAAAGCGCTTTGGCTCCTGATGCCAGCTGTGTCATAAATGAAAACTACCCCCATCTCCTGCCGGAGTGCTCAGCAGACGTTCCGCAGAGCAAGGTTCTGGATACTTCCCCTCCTCACGCTCCCGCGTCAGCTCACCTTCATCTTTCTCCAGGCGAAATGTCTAAACAAGCCCCGGAGGCTTCAGACGGCAGCAGCCCGGAGCTGCCTTTCAAGCAGCCGAATTGCTACTACAAACTCCGCAACTTCTACAGCAAGCAGTACTATAAACAGGCCACCTGCCCCGGTCACGAGCGGACCAGGGAGCAGCCCTTCGCCTTCGGCGCGCCCCCCGACCTCAGGGCCGCGGAGAGCCAGCCGGGCGCTGCCAGTCTCTCCGAGTGCGTCCTGGAGTCTGCCGAGCACTTGCCCCCCAGCTTCCTGGCCCCGCCTTTGAGTGAGTCCGCCCCCGCGCCGGACAGCGCTTGTCAGCAGCCCGCCAAACAGATGAGGCTCAAAAAGGCTATTCACCTGAAGAAGCTCAATTTCCTGAAGTTGCAGAAGTCTGCAGAGCAGACGTCGGAGCCCAAGCCAGGTGACCGACCGGCCAGGAGGATAGCCTCTGCTGCCGAAAGCGCCGTGGGGAAAGCGGCGGGCCACAGTACTGACGCAAAAGAAGGTGAGCACCTCACCAGTTCCGAGAACTTTCACTGCGTTAGCGACCTAGAGAGGCCGGAAGACGTGGCGGCCCTGGAAGACCAGTCCCAGGCTCTTCACTCGCAGAGGCAGTACGCGTGTGAATTGTGCGGGAAACCTTTTAAACACCCAAGCAACTTGGAGCTTCACAAACGCTCTCATACAGGTACACTGATTGAGTCCCCGCAGGCACCCGGAGAGGAAGTCCTGCAGATGACTGCACACCACTGCCCGCTCCTGTCTTTGTAAGAAGCTTTGCTGTTGCTGGGTGCTGTTACTGACAGCCAGAACCAGTCCCGGAGTCTTAGCTACTTTCGGTTTCTAGTTTCGATGAGACCTTTTAAAGGATGAGCTTAAACTTCTAGCTTTTATTCCAATTATGGTATTATCTGGTAAATCTTCCATCTCTAAGGAAATTCAGTAATTGTTGCTTTCAGAATTTCACATTCTAAGGCAAACTACCTTTAGTTTTCTCATTGGAATTAAATTTAACATTTTAAAGCACAAGGTAGGCTCATTCAGACAAAAATAACTTAGTAATTTTTAAAGGTTTTCTGGAAGTAATTTGAGTATCAGATGCTTTAAGTTGGAGGCAGGAGATAGACCTTTCAGTAAGTCTTAACGTCGACATCAGTATTGTCAAATAAAGACCAGTCCATTTCATACTTGATTTTTCAGTTTTATTATCGTATTTCATGCCTCCACTTTCTCAAAAGTTTACTTTTTTCTAAAAGCATCTTACACAGATGCATTGTGTTCTGTAACACACATAGATTACTTCCCTGGAGTCAAATACGATGACTCTGACACACGACAGATTAGCAAAGCGTGTGGGTGTGCAGGATGGCCGCTGCAGGCTGCCGTCCCGGTAGCCGCTGTGACGGGCTGCCCCTGGCACGTGCGTGGGGAGCCCTGTCTCCCAGGAGCCCCCACTGGCTTGGTGTTTGCTGCCTCATTGTGGTGTTGGGGTGCTTCGTTAACATTTGTGCCAGTCCTGCAGGATGTGATGTATATCGTGTAGAATGTGTGCTGTGAAGTACTGTCGTCCTTCTTACTACCAGTGGTTCAGAATTACTCGAGGAAAGCAGTATCACTCAACTTTGTCCTGAAAAAAAAATTTAATTCAGCTCATAATGTTTGCTTAAATTTCCTAGAGCCTAGTGATCGTTGTAATTGTTATTGAAGGACTTACTTATAGAAAGCCAACGTTAAATTATTTATGCCGAGAGAATCTCTTCAAAAGACTACTGTCGTCAAGACGGCGAAGATTCTCCCTGGGGTGTACATACACTGTGCCCCCACACCTCCTCAGTTTTGATTTCCATGGTTTCAGTTACCTGAGGTCAAACACGGTCCCAAAATATCATGTACAATGAGGTATTTTGCGGGAAAGACCAAATTCACATAACTTTTATGTGAATTTTTATTTTATCCGTATTGTTATATTTGTTTTATTATCAATTGTTGTTAGTCTCTTACTTTACCCAATTTTTAAACTAAAGATTGTCATGGCCCTGTCTAGAAAAAAGCCAGTTTCCACAGGGTTTGATCCTCTCTGGTTGTAAGCATCCCTGGGTCAGGATGACAGCACTCGACCAAGGAAGGCAGGATTTTCAAAGTAAGACCTGGGAAACACTTTCTAGGGGCCAGTCAGGCTGAAACTGTTTCTGTCATAGCGTGAGGTACCATGTGCCTTTTCCTCCCCCTGGAAGTGTGCACTGGCGTGGCCAGAGGCCTCCGTGTGCTGTGAGGCAGGCCACCACTCTGCAGGCCAGTGGGCCTCACGCTTCAGGCCACTCCCCTTTCCGGTCTAGACCGTACCTACAATATACCTACCAGGAAGCCCACTCCCCCAGAGCCCCTGACTCAGCTATTAAGGGTGGAAAGGGGCCGAGGGCAAACTTCTAGGAGGAGGAGCCGGGCTGAGCCGGGCTGACCGGTCCCCTTTCATGTCTAGAGATGTGAATGCACACCTCACACTGAGATGCGCATGCAGCCTCAGAGAGCCGTCCTGGAAGAGAAAATTCACAGGATTACAGTTGCTCAGGGTCATAGACACTCCCTCACCTTGGGGAAGCCATCACGTTGTTTCAGGAAGTACCGAAATAAAAACGTCTCCATAGTTTTGTGGCAGAAGCCCAGAGAGCTAGTCGGCCCTGATGTGAGAAAGGAGGTGTTTTTTACAGCGCTCTTAATGAAACCTAATTCGAGGGGAAGGGAAGGTTTCAGTCTTCACGATCTGTGAGAGTGTATGTAGGCTGCAGGCTTCTCGGTGTGATTCAGACACCTGCAGACGTGGGCGCAGTGCGGTGCCTCCCAGCCGCTGAGCACGGGTTTGCCGTGTCCGGCCCAGGGCAGCTCCTCGGTGCTTGCCAGAGTAGAGCAGTGGTCAGGGCTCTCATCTCCCGCAGTGGAGTGCTGTTCGTGAGCATGTCTCCCCGGGGCTGAAGGCCGCTGCCGGGGCCGCCCCTGTGCTGTGAGCGAGTGGCCCTGCCCTGCCGGCCGGGCGCTGAGCTGCGGGCGGGCTGAGGCCGGCGCCCGTGGGACAGCCCTTGGCTGAAGGGCGGGGCTGGGCGCGGGGCGGCCTGAGTGCCGGTGAGTGTTCAGCTTCGACCTAGGTTTGTACCTGGGGACAGTTTCGTTTCGAGAGAAAATTGAATACAGGTGTCACTTTTACCGTCCCCGCCTCCCGAAGGTGAGCGCTGCGGAAGACTGTTGTGCAGAATGACTAACGATTTTACAAGTCTCATTTTGTTTTGTTTTAGGTGAGAAACCTTTTGAATGTAACATTTGTGGGAAACATTTCTCTCAGGTGGGAATACTCTCATTCGCTGTTCATAATTGCAGACCTGACCCAGTGCTTGTTTTCATTGCATTTGAGACATACGTTTGGACTTGGGAGAGAACCGCTGATGATTTCTGTAACTTAAAGACTTCAGACAGAATCTGGAGAAAACTTTCACAGATGCCAATTCCTCGTCCCTCGGGGGAGGGTGCCGCTTCCCGTAGTCGGTGACCGCTCCCTCACAGACAGTGCCCCAGTTCTCGCCTGTCTCCCCCCCACCCCCCCACCCCCCAAAACCAAAAAAAGACCAACAGCACCCACCCGGCACTACGGGCACTGGCCCGAGCGCCCAGCGCCCTCTTTGTCAGAGCACTGGAGTGGGGGAGGGGGGCCGGCCCTCGCTGCCTCCCTCGGGAGAGGCGTGTGGTCCTCTGGCCAGCCGGCGTTCGCGGTACCCTCCTGTGGACTGGGCTGGCCTGGCGCTAGGCACCAACCGGAGATGATAAGTTTCGGAGAGAACTGGGAGGCAGCAGGATGACTTGTGGGAGCTCCTTCCTTTGACATGTAGGTGACCATTGGTCACCACGTGCCAGGCCCTGGCCTGCAAAATATGTAGGGGGCAGCTGTCCGGGGGCACGCGGGCACCGAGCTCCCGTGGAGGAAGCAGCGGATCCTCTGTTGGCAAACAGGATCGGGCCTGTGGCAGAGTGCAGACCCTGTGCCACTGAGGAGGGGCTGTGGGCTGCCTGGAAGGCGGAGTAGAGCCTCTGGTCAGATAAGTGCCCAGACCCGGGAGCCCAGGAGCGGCACCCTCTCCTTGCCAGAGCCGGCCCCCGAGCGCCCTCCATTGGCCGCCTGCCGCCCACATCTGCAGCCTCGGTTACTCCTCACTCTCCTGCTCCCTGTGCACGGTGACGCGCTGGTCCCGGCACCTTCCTTCATGTTCTCAGTTTAGCCGCAGGCAGTAGGTTCCCGTGAGCACTGGGAGCTAACAGGCTGACCACCGGCCCGTCGGGTGACGCCCTCAACTCTCATCCCGGCCTCCTCTGCAGTGCAGGGTGAGCGCCCACCCGTCCGCGCGCGAATCCTGCCCCTGGCATTCTCACCCTGACCTTGGGCAAGCTACTCGCCTTTGGCACCTTCGGCTTCCTTACGGTGGCAATGAGATAAGCCCCCAGTCGCGGGGGAGGAGTAAGCGAGTTGGCAGGGTTGAGTGCCGAGAACCTTGCCTGGTGCACAGTTAGGACTCGGGAAGCATCATTTCCTGCTCTGTTACCAACACCCATTTCCTCATCTCCTGAGTCCTCTGTCTGGCGGACCAGCTTTCCTGCGACGCCCCTGCTTGTTAGTCTGCTGGCTTGGCCGTTGTGGGGAAGCCAGGCCTGGGTTAAGGGCCGTTGAGGAATTCACAGCGTAGTTCTCTGTGCCTGATCTCTGTAACTCTTAATTCGGGATACCCCTTCGATAGGAATATTCAGGGGCTGAGTGAAAGCTTGTCATACATTTCAGCTGTAACAGAGCAAGGTCTGTCCTTCCAAGCTCTGTGGCTGACCACATCACACGGCCAGTGGAGCATCGCAGCCTGCCTCAGCCCGGCCCCGGTCTGGGGCGCCGGTGCCATGCGTCTTCCTGCAGCCACTTGGGTGTGCAGTCGTGTTCCCACTTGCAGCGCTCGGCCTGCCACTCCCCTCCGGCTGCGCCACAGGCGTTCTCACCGCAGTGCCCGTGAGGTTTCTGTGGCTGGACAGGGAGTGGTTTTCCGGCATACGTTGCTGCCGTACTGCGTAATGAGCTACTATTGTTGTGAACATGGGCTCTTAAACTTTACTGAGCCTGGTAGAAACTTCACTTGGCCAGTATTTGCTGCATGTGTGCCGTATTCAGGGCGCTGCCGTGTGTGGGGGTTCATTTCTTAGAATGCGAGATGTTTGTTGTAAGGAAAAGGCCAGCAGTGAAGTGCCAAGCGCCGCGGGCCCCTGGCCGCTGGCCACTCTGATGGAAGCAAGGTCGGGGGACAGTGGGCAAGGAAAGGAGCGGGCCCAGAGGATGTTGAGGAGTCAGTTTAGGGGGTCCTGCAGACAAGCTGGTGCCTGGTAAACCTGGAAGTGTCTGGAACTGTAGTTCAGAGGCCAGTGTGCTGTTTCCATGGCGATACGCAGTGACTAATGCTCACGACCTGCCCGCCACCAGCCTCCACTGGGTCTGCAGTCTAAAGGGCTGGACTCAGTTGTGGTCCCGGGGTCAGCCGGCTCCCGGTTAGTGTCAGCGTTAGCTTCAGTGGAAGTGAGACTATACGGGCTTTCCTTTCTGGAAGATTTCCAAAGTTAGGGGACATTTACAGTAAGAGCTCATTTTTCCAGCTGCTCACGGTACTCAGTGTAGCAGGGTGGTCATGGCCTACGTGTGTCAGCAAACAGCTCTTGCAGGTGCTCTCGTCCGAGGCTGTGACGGCAGAGTGCGCATCTTTTAATACAGTTGTGGACGTGGGGTGTGCCCAGCCTCAGCAGGTCAGCTTCCAGTCACAGTCAGAGGGCCCAGAGCTCTCCGGAGGGCTCCAGTGTGGGCGAGGAGTGGGCCGATTAGAGCACCCCAGGGAGAAGCCAGAGCGCCAGGCGCCCAGACACAGAAGGGCACCGTGGGCCTTGGTGGTGCTTGGGGAGGGATCGAGCCATTCAGTCTCCTCAGGGGCAGAAATGGAGCCTAACAGCTGGCGAGAGAGGCAGGGAGACCCCAGCACTGCTGTCTCGGGTCGCGGTGACTGCCGGCGGCTGCTGAGAGAGGGCTTCCGGGCCTGGCCCCCTGGCGGGGTCCCAGCCCATCCTGTGAACGTACCAGAGTACAAGAGAGTTTGAAGTGGACTCTTCCCGAGTTATTAATAAATACGACTTTGGCTCTGCGATGATGCGCCCTGCACTGTCAGTGAAAGATGTCTTTGGTCATGTGGTGACGCTGTTTTCGTAGGTGGCGTCGCTGTCCTTTTCCTTTTGAGGCCTTGAAGCCTCGCAGCGCCTGCACTGCCGCCCTCGGGACAGCAGTCGCAGGGACTAGGTGCTGGTCGGGTCGTGGCTGAACACCAACATGCATAGACGCGCGACGAGCGAGAGGCCCTCTCCTGCCGCAGTCCTCCCGTCGGGACTCTGACAGCGCCCTCCTGAGAGAGACAGTGCTTGCTGGAAAGAATAGGACGCCCCGGATGCGCGTTCTCTGGCAGAGCGAGCCTCCTGCCACCCCACTTTGGAGCTGGCCGGCGCCCGTATTCGCACACGTGAGGCGACAGGACCCAGGCTGGCCCTCCCGGCCCTCAGTTTCTGTGCTAACTGACTGCTCCGTAGAGACCCCTGGGGGCTGAG